ATTTCTGAGGGTCCTTCCTACTCCCCCGGCCTATAGTTTCTAGGAAAAAAAAAACCCTGTCTCTTCATGAAACAGTTGGGTATTCTGCCTCCTCCGGGATACGTCTGGAAAACAGCTCGTACCTTCTCACTGCACTCCTCTGCCGGCAGTGAAGGAGGACAGAAAGGTCAGAGGCAGAGTCCCAAAGGGCCTGACAACTTCCTCCAAAAAGTGACAAAGACAGCAAACTGCAGGTAACATTGGGTACAGGGCTGGCGCCATCTGGTGTGTCTTGAGACTATGTCATGCCGGTCGGTGCCACGTCGGTGCGGTCTCCCTACTGCTGTCTGGTCTGGCAACAGGTGAGCATTTACTGCTGCCCTTCTACTGAGCACATGCTGCGTATGCTGCCAATATCGTATTATAAGTCATTTTAATTACCACCCGATACTTTCAGTAAGTCTAGAAGAAAAATGGTAAATGCAAGGTTTTATTAAAACCTGAACAGACTCAAAGTTAAAATATACTTGATCCTTTAAAAAAAATAATAACATGCCATTGTGAAATATTTACGTCTGTCTATCTCTGTGTTCTGAGACGGCACTACACCAAAATGCAGAAGGTAAATCTAGGTTCATGACTGAAAGGGGCAACCTTTCAAAAATAACAGGAAAACACCTAATCCCCCAATTTCCCCAGTAAAGGTTAAAGGTCAGACCTGTGAGTTCTCTCACTAACAGGCACCCCGCAGTTCTGTTCATTCAGCTCTGGAGTTCTGCTAGGTCGCCCCTTTCAATGACCCTGCTCATCCAAATGACTGGGCTCCTGTGTTTTCACTGCATTCAACTTCCTCCCACTCCTACAAAAATACCAACAACGGCAAAGCTGAATTTTATAGGGGAAGGGAAGGTAATGAAGCTTATTGAAGAGAATAAATATGGAAGATACTTATGGAATAAGTATGGAATGGAATGTGGAATAAATTATGGAAGATAAATAAAATGACTGGAAAAAGATTTCTTGAACAATAGTCAAAAATCATAAAACTTAATAAAAATATTGAAAATACCACAGAAAAATAACACCTCTTTAGACAATAAGAGAAATAAAGTGAAAAAACAAGTCACAGCCTGGAAGAGTATATTTGCAATGATATTTGGAATCTAAAGTAAAGACAGAATTACTACAAATCTATATGGAAGATAAAAACAATCCAAAAGACAAATAAGAATACAAAAGCCTAAATGACCAAATAACATGAAAAGATGCCACTTTCACTAGTCATTAAAGAAATGTGAATTACTGCCACAAAGACAGTTCATGCTGCATCCACTGAATTAGCAAAAAATAAAATAGCTGCTAATCCAAGCATTTTCATAGAAGGTTCATACACTGTAGGTGAGAGTGAACAGGTAGGCCAAAAAGCAAAGAAATTTGCCTATCTCGTGTAGTTTTGATTGCAGAAAAATTCTCCCTTGATAATCGAGAATACACACCTGCCTTTAGGTGGTTTTGGGATTCAGAATAATGATCTTTGAGGTAGTCCTGGAAAATACAAGCCAAGAAATTAAAATGGTCCCAGACCCATAGTACCTTGGAGCACCTGGAAGAAGCAAAAACAAAATCTGGAGAAATGTATCTTTACTACAGGCTTCACAGTTTTCCCACAGATAAGCACTTCCAAACACGAACAATCCAAAATTACAAGATATATGAGGAAAGGAATCATCATGCATGAGAATCAGTAAAAATAACAAGTTGCAGAATTAGACCCCTCAAGATTGTCAGGGAAAGAAATTTTGGTGAACACAACATAAAGTAAATGTGTTTAAAATATTAAAAGAATAAAAGATGGAATCAAAACCATGTCAAAGGAATATATTACCACCGAAAAAGATCAGACAAATTTGGAAATAAAAAAAGAATGTCTAGTCATTGAAATTTTAAAATTCGATGGTCATGTTCAATAGCAGATTAGATCTAGCTGAACAGAGAATTAACTGGGATATGCATCTGAAATGATTACTCAGAATTTAGCACAGGGAGAGAAAGAAATGGAAAATATAAAAAAGAGGTTAAGGGAAATAAAGAGTAGAATAAGAAGGCCCAATTTACTGCCTAGTAGAAATTCTAGAGGAAAATGACAACAAAAAGGTAAAATTCAAAGAGATAAATGGCTAAGAACTTTCAAGACTGATAAAACAAGAATGCTCAGATCTACGAATTACAATCAATCCCAAGCAGGGCAAAAGAATATCTACACCTCAATATAATAATGAATCTATAGAATGCCAAAGAAAATAACTTACCTATAAGAATGACAATTAGACTGACAGCAAATTTCTCAATAGCAATAATAGAAGTCAGAAATTGACACAATGTTATCTTTAAATTCTGAAAAAAACAAACTGTCAACCTAGAATTTTATGTTACTAAACTTTTATTGAAGAATTAGGGTGAGATAAAAATATATTTTCATCCAAATAAAAACTGACAGCATTCATCAATAACATACCCTCACCTTCTTCAGGATGTTCTTGAAAAAGAAAAATTATTCTAGAAGGAAGGTATGAAATATAAGGAAGAAAAAAGAACTGGCCAACATGTGAATACATCCAAACAAACATAATAAAACTTGATTATTTCTTAAGCTGGTTGGAGGGCACATGGACATTCATACTTCCATGTTTTATTCCTTTACAAGAGCCTAAAATATTTGACAGTAATTTCTTTTTAATAGTGCAGGGAAGAGAATTCCAGGCAGAAGGTCCTGAGGCTGGAAAGAGCTTGACCTACTCAGGGAACTGAAAAAGGCAGTGTATCTGGAATACAGGGGAGAGAAATGGTACAAAATGAAGCTAGACAGGTAGGCAGAGGCCAAATCATATGGGCCTCGAAGGCCATTTTAAGGATTTGTCACAGTCAAGAGGAAGCCATTAAAGCCTTCCAAACAAAGGATTTAAATAATCCAGATTGAATGTTACTGTAAGAAGACAATTCTGGCTGCTCAATTTAAGGGTTCTTGGTAAGTGCTAAGAACCTAACACTAAACATACATCAGGTCTAAACATACATCATTGTATTTCTCACTGGCCCTGATTTATCCAAGATTTATTCAATTTCTAGGATTACCAAAGGCTCCTCTGCACTGCACCATATTAGATATTCACATTATGGCCCAAGGTGAACCTGTATGCAATAAGATAGTCACTATTCAATTACAATACAGCTATCTGAATGGAAAAGGAGGATTGCTACATGCTAGAGTCGTATTGAACATGGGGAGAAATATGAAAGTTTCAGGAAGAAAGTGCTTTCTTTGAAAGCTGACCCACAAAGGATAAGAACATGAATTGATGAAGGGGAAGAGTGGGCATTCCACATGAGGAGACTAGGGAATAGTGCTCACAAAATTCTAGAATAATTAGCATATTACACGGGAATATTGGCTTGGTGAGTCCCTTGAGTTCCATTATGGATTAGTAACGGAAACTACTGGATGAGTGGTAAAATGGGGATAGTTTGGGGAATCAGTACTTTTTCCTGAAGGCAACAACAAAGTGCAAAGATTTTTAAGAAGGGGTGAGTCTTTGAACAAAATACTTTTTAAAAATCTCACACACACAATGAAGAGAGAAAAGAGACAATAAGGAATTTATGCAGGCTTTTATTCTTAGCAGCAGCAGCAGGCAAACTTGCCACCCCTAAGTGCTTTTTCAGAAGTACACTTGCCACATTGCTACCAAATTATTTCATTCCTTTTCACAAAACTTCGGCACTGTGCGGCTTAAAGAGCAAAGTCCAAACTCCTTATACCAACATTCAGGATTCCCCAAAATTCTTCCCTAACATATCTCTCCAAAAAGCTCACTTAAAGGAAACTCATACACTGGCTCAATGGCTCATAAATTAAATTCTAAAGAAACCACGTTCCCCTGCTGGGGTGTTCTTTCTCCCTGCCATGCCCTATTTCCTGTTTACTCCTGTAAGTTATTACCTAGGTTTTAAGATGTAGTGCAAACCCTGTATCCTCTAGGAAGACTTTCTCCATACCAATGCAGACCTTATTGACTTCATCTCTTCAGCACGCAGTTATTCTTACTGTCTCTAACACGCGTAACACAAGCTACCTTAGTGGAAGTTACATTTTTTACAGGGAACACCTGTACCTTATAAAAGGCCTTCTGTTTGGCATGGCAGAAACCTGTTTATAGATTCTTAGCATCCCCAGCTGCTCCCAGTGCAGTGAATCATTAGGCTCGACGGCGGTGAGCAATGACGATCACCCTTAGCTTATACGAGTGGTGGAGGCGAGCTCCACCAACTGCAGCCGCCCCGCACGCAGGTGTCTGGCCTCCACACGTGACAGGGAAGGGGCATTGCTTCAATATAAAGGGGAGTTTGCTGCTTGTGAAGTCACCCACAATGTAAGCAATAATATATGAATTTGAGTTGACTGAAAGTGCTAACTCGGGCCAAGAGTTGTAAAATAAACGATCCTTCACGACCACAAGGCGCTCCTTCCCACAACTGAGACGTCGCCACGAAACCGAAAACAGGCGGGCCTGGGTGGGGAAGGGCGTGCGCCCCGCCCCGGCGAGCTCTGGGGCGGGCTTTAATCGCCCGGCCCTCTGATTGGCTGCGTGCCGCCGCCGGCCGCCGGTGATTGGTGGGTGTCGCGAGGCGGGTCTGGCACGCGGCAGTGGCCCTCGAGGAAGAAGGCAGCGATGGCGGCCGAGGCTTCGACGGCTCAGCTAGCCCTATCTTTCTACCCGCAGAGGGGTAGGAGGAGTCGGTCCTGGGGTGCCACCGGGATCCAGTGCACCCGGTGTGGAAGGAGGGTGCCCAGAGCATCCGGTGAGGGCCCCAGGGTTGCTCCGGCCCCACAGCGGGTGGGTGGCCCAGCTAGCGGGAGACAGGCAGAGCGAGGCCTAGCCGGGGCGCGGCGCCTCGAGAGCTGCGGCCAGGCCGGGTGTCCATGGAAACCGCCTCACAGGCCTTCCAGGAGCCGCAGCCCGCCCCCGAGAGGGCCGCGCGGGGCAGGGTGGGGGGCTTCCCGCCGCTTCCACGGCTTTTTCCACATCCGCAGCCCCGTCTCGCCGACCCTCCAGTGGGAAAAGAGGGCCGGCGGCTGTAACTTCCATTGTCTTCCAAGCACCCTTTCGCACGCTTCCCTGGGTTGGCAGGTTCATGAAAGTGGGTGTAGAAATTTGTCTCATTGTCTTGTGGTCAAGAAGGAATGACACTTGATTTTGTTGTGTAGTTTTTGTTGTAGGAGTAACAAAATAGACCACTGTGAAATGTTCCTGGATTTAAAAAAAATTGGGTGTTTTTCTGTTTGTGTGTTTTTTGTTTGTTTTTTTACATTATGGCTGAAATTGGCTTAATGTATTGTTTGGAAAACAATAGTTCCTTTTGTGCATGTTGTGGGCTTGCTTTTTGTGGGGTTTTTTTTTTTTTTTTGTCTTTATACCTCGAGGGAAAAATACACTACACTCGTGTTGTTGATCTACTAATTTACAATCTACTCAAGCAAACACAGGTTGTTTTAATGTAACTTAAAATACATTAGAGTGCTGTGTCTGTGACAGGGATGAGTTGTTGAATCCCTGGAGCGACCGAAAATTATTATTACTGGATGTACTTGTTTAATGTTTATGCTTTCAAGGTGAAGGTCATTTGATCACTTTTCTCAGTCTTTTCGAGATGAACTCTTCGTCTATGAGATGTGAGCCTTTGTAGAGAAAAGTTGTATTTTTGGTGGACAGCCAAGTTGCTCCTACTTAGGGTTTTAGATCACTGCTGCTATTACACAGAAAGCCTCCATTTTTTAATGGAATAAAAATTACAGAATAAAGTTTTAGAACACAGCCTTTTAAAATCAGTCCTTGCATACATTTGTATTACAATGCTTAGAAATAATTGGAAAAATTGTGGTTATGTGTATAGAATTGTAAAAGTGTTTTGTTAGCTATAATGCACCACAGGTTATTTTGATTTGTGCAGTCTAAAAATTGTATAAAAACAGTTAAGAGTTTTGCTTTCTTTGCTAATATCTCTGGAAATAGGGCTTTAAAATTTAGCATGGTTATAAGCAAGCTTCAGATATAGCAGTTGGCTGGGAAAATTGTAAAGCTTTTTAAAAAAATCAATGCAGTTATAATTCAGCAAGAATATTACAATTTCTAGAAAAAGAGGACTGAATTTTATCATTTGTTTTTCCTTTTCACTCCTTTTTTGCAAAAAGTCTTTTAAAATGACAATCTTTTGAAAAACATTTATGATAAACTTCAGATTCTACTTAGAGCATTTATTTCTTGATATTAGGTTTTCAATAAAAGTTATCTTTCATAAATGCTAGGTTTCTGAAAATTGTCTTTTTGTGGATTTTGTGTTTGTGACAGTAACATCTGTCTTCTGTCCTTGTCAATGTCTTAGATTGTTGTAAGAGAGCAGTCTTGCCAATGCCTCATTTTGGCCTTTCCTGACTCCTTCACAGGATGGGAGATATAAATTAGAAGAGGGTAGTATGATCAATTAGAATGTTGGAGTTGGAAATAGAACTAAGTTAGAATATGGATTATACCATTTAATTAGCCAAAACACCAAAATATTTATTATCTCTGTGTTGGATATGATATTCCCAGCCTACTTAACTGTGATATTTACAAAAATCAAATGAAATATGTCAGAGCACTTTGTATAATTGTAAGATACCATAAATTCAAAGTATTATGTGTACAAAATATTACATAACTCTGCTTGTTTTTTTCTTGATTTTTCTCCCTCCTTCTGACCTGAATAGTTTCTCCTGAATTTTACTTAATAAGTCACTCATTTCAAGCTGAACTAGGTATTTTTTGGTGCACAGTAGAATTCCCTGTGAATTTTCCTTTTGATCAATATTGCCCATTCAATATTTAACAAATTATGGAAAGTTTAATTCACAATAGAATTTCATCAATAGGTCACTGCCATGAACTTCAGTGCGGACATGCTTTTTGTGAACGGTGCTTGTTAATAACTGAAGAATACAGCGCAATTATATGCCCTGATTGTGAGGTAAGTTTTATAATTTTTCATACTAAACACATTACAATCTAATGTCAAAGGTAAAAATGTTAAAGAAGTAAAATAGTCTTTTGGTTAGAAATTTTAAAACTGGCATGTTTGCTGCTGAATCTTTAAGCAAAGAAGGAGAACAAAAGATAAAACTTTTCTCATCCATTTTATAATTGTTCAAAGTTATCAAGAAAAAAACAGCTAAAGTCATACATTTATTGGCCTGTATATTTTGATTTTGTGGAGATCTCTGTGGAAAATTACCTCTTTTTGTTTAATGTAATACAGTCCTTCCAAAACCCTAGCCCACCCTCCTCACCCCCCTCTCCGCTCCCTCCCCATCCCTTTTCCAAACCAATACAAACAGATTTTGAACTCAACCTCAACCTTTGTGTGTCATCTAATTTACATTTGTGGAGATGTCATACCATAAAAAGGCAGAGAGGCAGAACTACTACCTAAAATTCAATACTGAAGTGCTTCTGAGGAAGCACTAAAAACACTTCCATTAGGACTAAAAATCTATGGACCCATTAAGAATGAGAACAGATTAAGGATTTACTTTACTTGACATCCATTTACTACAAATGTAAATGTAGTTCAGCTTATATAGTATGTTCATGGAAAGTTGTTTTAATCTGTAAATTCTTAAGGTTCCACTGGAGAGATCAGATGATGGGAATTTGTATCAGTTGTTTTCTGTGGCAGACAGTATGGAGGCTTAAGACCTAGAATGCAGTTCTTGTTCTGTCAGCCTAGCCTGGGTTTCCTCATTTGTGAGATGGATATAATCCCTGCTTTGTCTTATGACATAGGATTATAAGAATCAAATATGAAAGTTCTCTACATGCTTCCAGACTACCATAATAAAATAACCCTTCATTACTTAGGTGTGGATGGACTGATTTTCAGGCTAAATATGGTAAAAACATATATCGTAATTTGTGAAAGTTTTAATTATAGCAAAAATATTTACATATGAGAAGCTATTTTGGAATTATATATAAGTTATGCCTTTTATTGAGGGAAATTTCTATCTCCTTTCCTTTTTTTTTTGACATGGAGCTTCTCAGATGTGGCTGGCTACATGGTCAAGACAGAGGGAACTCTCTTCCTGTGGTTATAATGGTAGATCCCTGACAGATTCAGTCTCCTGGGTGAGGAATAAGTGCAGGGAAAGGGAGGGAGCAGGCAGCTGGAACTGTCTCTGGCCATTCCCATCCTGGTCTAATATTCAAAAACAAACATTTTAACAGTAACTTTTTGCCTTTTTTGGCAAGTGAGTTCATGTTAAATGGTCTTAAATCATACTTGTATCATTTTTAGGATTTTGATTGATATTAATGGTTAATCATTCTATAATATTGCACAGCAAACTGCAGATTTTGTTTAAGGATAAGATTGTAGTTAGGTACTATTCCAGAAATATTGGCATTGTATTTATCTTTTGGACTTGAGTCTAAAATATATTGGCTCATGAGGAAAGAATGAGTCATCTAATCAATAGAAACTAAATATATTCTAAAATCCCATGCTGGGATTGGGATTGGAATTGGAAATACTGATATATAAAAATTATAAATGTAAACTAGAAGAAAATGCAAATAATTGTATAATCTTTGATAGGAAGCCATGAAAAGCATACTAAAGTCAGAAAACACAGAAGAAATGCTTATTAAATTTGACCACATTTTTTCATTTACAAGCAACAAAAACAAGCAAAAACGCCATCATAAATAAAACATAAATGACAGGCTATGGGGGAAAAATAAAACCTTTATTATATATGTTACAGCTTACAAATCTTTTTACAATTTTTAACTGAAATCTTTTAAATCAGTGGTATTTAATGTTTACTTCTTTTTTTCCTGCGGATGTGGTAGAAATTAATGTTCACTTAAACTTTCTGGAAGAAATGTCCTGCATCAAATCTGCTAATAGTAACATTATCCGCTTACTATGAAATGCCAAGCCAAAGTGTGATAGACCGGGAAGACTATAGAAATTAATTTTTAGCCCCCATTTTGTTGGGGAGAGGCTTCAAATACCATTCCAGTGTGATTTGTTAAAGTAACACTTTTTCCAATTTCTAATGAATTGTAAAAAATTTTGTAATTATTATACAATATATTTTCCCATATGAGCTTTAGAATTGTATTAAACTAATAATACATGGCTAACTTTGGTACGTCACACTTGAAACTTTGAAAGAATATCCCTCATCCCTGCCAAAGAAGTATATTTCACAAAAATGGGAAACTATAACATTTAGTAGTCTGCTTTATTCTTTTAGCAACATTCATCTGTTCTCATGAAAGTCTCCCACATAACTTTAATGGCTGCATAATAAACCATTGTACATAAGTGCTATAATTTTCTTAACTAATCCCTTTATTGGCAAACATTTAGGTGGTTTTCAAAATTTTTCACTCTGGTTGTGCACAATTCCTCAAACCCATCCCCACCAGAAAGTTCTGTAATTTCTAGCTCCAAAAGAAATCCACGTTTGGATTTGTTCAGGTTTGTTTTAATGTTTGATGGGCAAAAAAAGAGTTTTTATTTGTTTTAAATTGTAATTCCCTTGCTACCAGTGAAATTAAGCAACTTTTCTTATGTTTGACTTGTTATTTCCTCTTCTATGTGGATCTTTAACAGATCTTCACATCCTTTGAATCTTTTCCTTTTGAATTTCCTTTTGAATCCTTTTGAATTTCTTTTTCCTAACTTGTGAGAGTACTTTATGTGATAGGGATATTAACACTTTGTCCTGTGTAACTGTTTTCTTCAGCTTCTCACTTTTGCTTTTATTGCAGTTTAGACATTCAGAAATGGCTTCCTTCCTAACTAGTCGTTTTTCTCCCACTTCATGTCTTCTAGGCTTTTTTTGATTAGGCAGACCTTCCTATCTCAAAGTTACATTTATATTTTTTCAATACTTGTATTACATTTCTTAAAAGGTGTATGTTTAATTCTGTTGTTTTATATAAGATGGGTGTATAACTTTATTCTTTAGAATGATTAGCTGACTTTCCCATACAATCTATTGAATAATCCTCCCATTTCATTGCCCCTTTCATTCTATATTAAGTTTCTATAAATATGTGGGTATCTGTTTCAAGGCTTTGTTCTACTGATTGATTATGCCAGTACCATAGTGTTTTGATTACAGTAGTGTTATAATAGTCTTATTAATCAGTGGGATAAATCTCTAATGAATTGTATGCTAAAATTATTGTAATTATTGTACAACATATTTTCCCATATGAGCTTTAGAATTGTATTAATTTTATATTTGATGGATTTTAGAATATTCAGTCTTTATCTCCAGGAACCTGCATGATTCTCCATTTATTCGGTTCTTGTTTTATGACTGCTGATAAATTTTTTTCAGTTTTCTTTACTGAGAGTTTATATTTTTCTTGTTAAATTTATTCCTAAATATTTTTAGAGTTTTGAGCATATTTTAAGGTATCATTAAAAATTTTTATGGTAAATTTTTAGTATTTAAAGTATTGTTGCAAGTAGTTTCTTTAAAATTGTGATAGAATGAAGTGTCTTAATTAATAGTGGCAAAATTACTGATTTCTTACAGAAATTAAAGTAGGGTATAAACATATAAGCACAATTTTCTTGTTGATTTAAAGGGGATTTCAGGGTCTTTAGGGTTATCATTAATTTTGCTTATAAATGAAACACTTAAATAGTTGTCTAGATTCTGGCTAAACAATTTAATGAATGACTATCTGTTCTTTTTTTTTTTAATCATATTTTGTCCTAAGGTTGCTACAACTGTAAATATGAGACAAGGTTACTACCAAATAGATGAATGTATTAAAGAAGACTCTTTAATGGAAAAGCTGCAACCTAAAATGTATGTTTTGTCTGTACTTATTTTAGTATTTAAAGTTCAATGTGTTTCTGAAATAATTTTAGAAATATTGATAAAATATTATTAGATCTGTGTTTCTAACCCACTGTTTATATAGAGTGCTCCTTAAGTTCATAATTCCTCTTAGCTGTCAGTGGAATGGAGAATCCAGTTCTTTAAAGAAGCAGCATTCATTTGTCTTTATTTAAAGAGAATAAAGGAATTCAAGGATTACCATATCAAAACAAGAAAGTCTGAGAGTACAATACTAGCTGAAGTTATTGGTGCAGGATGAGAGGAAGTTATAAAGAAAATAATTACTTATTTTTCTCTCTCTCTTCTTTTTTGAGACAGGATCTCTCTCTCTGTTCTCTGGGCTAAAGTACAGTGGCGTTGTCATAGCTCACTGTAACCTCTATCTCCTGAGCTCAAGCAATCCTCTTGCTTCAGCCTCCCAAATAGCTGGGACTATAGGCACACATCTCCACACCTGTCTAAGTTTTCCGTTTTGTTTTTTTTTCCTATAGAGACAGGGTCTCTCTCATTATTTGCTCAGGCTGGTCTCAAACTCTTGGCCTCAAGCAGTCCTCCCTCAGCCTCCCAACAAGCTAGGATTTAGGATTACGGGCATGAGCTGCCATACCCCACCTCTCTCTGGATTCTTCAGAATAGCAGAAGTACAGTATGATGGAGGACTTTGGGAAGAGGTGGTTTGAGAGGTGATTTATAAAAGGAAAAATAATAACTTTAAGGTTCTTCATTTTTTTACTCTTTTATAGGACTTTACACAGGTATGCATTAGTAAATGCTCTTTTTGAATTAGTAATAGAATTTTTTTTTTTTTTTTTTAAAAAAGGGTCTCATTCTGTCACCCAAGCTGGAGTATAGTGGTGTGATCATAGCTTGCTACAGCCTCCAACTCCTGGGCTCAAACAATCCTCCTGCTTCAGTCTCCCAAGTAGCTGAGACTACAGCATGAAGCACCATGTCTGGCCATTATGGAGATATTTTTAAACACACCCCACCTAGAGATGAGCACCTATGCTACTTTTTGTTGCAATTATTTCTATGTGTCTCTCCCTGCTAGTCTATAAGCCCCTTTAAGGGCATGGGGCACATTTTATTCCTCTGTGCCTCTGGTGTGGGATGCAGAGTAAATATGTAATGTCTGTTAGATGAAGAACCATAATATTTTGACATTTTCTGTAGTTTTTCTAAAGTCATTTCTCAATTCTAGCTAAGTTTACATTAATAGTTGGCTATGGGATGGACCACGGTTGAAAAATGGTAAAGTGTGACCATTTGCATATTTTTAAGTGTTAAAGAATCTTCTGATCAATTTATTGGGACCCTACTCAAATGGTAATTAAGTTTCTGTATAACCTTTAACTTTTTAAAGCATATTTAATGTGGTAGTAGACTATGCAAGAAGTAAAAAGAAACATAGGATATCCTCAAAGAACAACCTCATTTGGAACTTTCTAATTTTGTTAATGGCACCAAATATCTATAAATCACCTCAGTTCCTCATGTTGCATTCATTTTACCTGATGCAGAATCCTAACTTCCACAGTATCCTTACCCATAACCTGTCTTGCATTTCTGATGCTGTATCTCATGTCCTCTTTAGCTCTTTATCACTTCCTGACTCTTACCTTACTCTGTGGTTTATTCATTTCCTATTCAAGTAACATTTAAAATTCTTTAGTCTGGAATTCTTGGCTCTTCATATTACTGCTGTAGTTTCTCTTTCCAGACTTAAATGAATGCTTAGAAAAAAACCAGAAGAATAGTTGTAGTCATTTCTTTGGGTAGTAAAACCACTTATCTAAAGTCTGGTGAGCTGGTTGTTGACAGAACCAGAATGTGAACCCAGGCTCATTGAATATCAGTACCTCTCCCAGTTCCTTTAAATGTAATACACCAATCACTTCCTCTATGAGCTTCGTAATTAGAATAAATCTTTAGAGGCCGGGTGTCGTGGCTCATGCCTGTATTCTTAGCACTCTGGGAGGCTGACGTGGGAGGATAACTTGAGGTCTGGGGTTTGAGACCAGCCTTAGCAACAGTGAGACCCCATCTCTATAAAAAAAAAAAAGAAAGAAAGAGAGAGAGAGAGAGAAAGAAAGAGAGAAGGAAGGAAGGAAGAAGAAAGAGAGAGAGAAAGAAAGAAGAAAGAAAGAAAGAGGGAAGGAAAGAAGGAAGGAAGAAAAGAAAGGAAGAAAGGAAAGGAAAGAAGGAAAGGAAGAAAAGAAAAGAAAAGGGAAGAAAGAAAAGAAAGAAAGAAAAATTAGCCAGGTGTGGTGGGTACATGCCTGTAGTGGCAGCTACTTGGGAGGCTGAGGAGCCCAGGAGTTTGAGGTTGCAATGAGCTTGAGGATGCCACTGTACCCTAGCCTATGCAACAAAGTAAGACCCAGTCCCCAAAACTAAACTAAAATAAATAAAAATAGAATGAATCTTTAGGAATTCTTCTGGCTCGTGAGTCCTCATGGAGTACCCATGTTTATCAAATTTAGAACTCCCAAGTTTGAACACCTACAGGAGTGAAGAGGATGACTTACTGGGTGAGGTGGACTCAGTTTAAAGAATGAGCAGTAAGGATTGTAGCAGATGAAGAGGGCTCACCCCCTCCAAAGGAGGCAGCTTCTACTCAACTCTTGCCAATTACTGCTATGTATTAAGAACAATCCCATGTTGCCAGATCTTTTTTTCTCCCCAAGGCAAACTACAGATCTGTACTTCTGTGTGAAATTTTCTGACTATTAATACATCATACAAGTCAAACCAGATTGTTTACTCTGGTTGATTGAGATGTGTATAATCTCTCTTAAGACTGCAAAGTGAAATTTCACTTTCAGAGGTAATGAGTCTGTCTTGACCAGAAAATACCCAAATTTGTTCCAAATTACCATTTTTTAATTAAATGTTTCCTCTCAGTTATATTAGAAACTGCTATTCTCTTAAGACTGTTTGGCTTAAAATGGTTACATTTTAAATTGTAGTATCCCTTGACTCAATATTTCTTTACTGATTTATCTTTAATATTTTGAAACTCCTGTTCAGTCATGGACTCCTCAGGGCCAACTTGCTCATACATGTGTTCAAGAACATGAATATTCCCTTTTCAAAGTGAATGTTTTATAGTGAATGTTTCACAATTATTTGGTCTAGTATTTTTCTCTATAAGAGTAACATATTTAAACATCATAGTTTCTTCCATAAACTATAGGTTTAATTTATTCAGCAAACACTAAGTGCTTACTGTGTGATAGCCAATATGGTGATATAAAAAAAAAACATAGGTAAAACTGTTTTGGAACTAACTCCTGACCTCAAGTAATCCTCCCACCTCGGCCTCCCAGAGTGCTAGGATTATAGGCATGAGCCACCACACCTGGCCAATAAAACTCTGGTTTCTATAGACAAGAGAATGCTACTAACTTTCTTTGCTTAGTTAAATTCATTATCTTTTTGTAAATTGTCCAGACTTATAAGAACATTTTTAATAGCTGGCATTTATGTGTGTAAGTACTCACTTTAATTGATGAACTTAAAGTATTTCAGTGATTATTAACACCTATACCAAAAATACCAGGTGAGGAGCAATACTTAAGAAATTAAAACATATCCACTTCTCCTTCCTTAAAAAAAAATAATAAAAAAAATTTAAAAATTAGAGAAAAAAAGAAATTAAAACAATACATATTTTAAGCCATTATTTTTAGGAATTTGTTAAGAAGTTGAATTTTTTATTAAAATTAAGCTTTATGAAAGCATGTTTACTCATGGTTTCTGTCTCCTTATAGATAATGGAAAACATGTTTCTTAAGTCTCATATGGATTATTTTTGAGAGAGGTTAAAAAACTGAATAGACAATTAAAATCATTATATTAATGTAGGTATTTAAAATAATGTTTTTGACATTTTTTAGGAAAAACAGTTCTCAGGATTTTAAGAAGACTACTGATCAGCTAACTACTGGTTTAGAACATTCAGCCTCCACACACAGGCCTGTTTCAAACTCATCAGCTATAATGTCGGTATGAAACATGTTGGTCATGAAGTACGATGAAGCCAAATATTTGACTTTGTCTCGGATAGCTTAACTTTCTTCTCTAGGTTCCTATAATTATAGATTCTTTTGAAAGCATATAGATAACAGAAATAAACCCACTTGCCTTACTTGAATCTCTTATTCTATACTTGAACCTCTTGTTCTATGCTTAAACAATTCTCTTTTCTTCGTAATATAGTCGGTTCTATCTTTGACCAAGTCTTTCAAGTTCTTAATATTTACTCATATGTAGCGTCTTCCTTTTGAGTCTACTTGTTGAATCCAGATTCTTTGAAACATGTATAAAGTATAAATTTCCAAATTCTAAGTGTAATTTTCTAGTTGTTTTAACAATGACCCAAAGGCCTAATAACTGCATTCGTTTTTGTTGATGATAATAATGTTGTTGGAGATTGAATTTTCCTGTTACTACTCCTGATAACTTTAAATAATGTATTGTTTTAATTTGAGATTAGAAATAGAATGAACTCCAAAGTGGTGATAAATGAAGTGTTTTTTTTGTTAAGATCATTAGTGGGCTGGAGAAGAGAAAAGAGAGCACTTTAATTTTGCTGTCTTTTCCTTCAAGTTTAAATCTTGACATAACCAAATTATGATCTTTTTTCCAAAGAACTGTTTATAAGTTTAAATGTGTACATTTATTGCCATTATAAATTGTTCAATAGTTTTAAGTTGAAAAAGGGTTACAGAATATAATCCTGGGCCTTTTTTTAGAAAAGACATCTTTATGAAAAAATCTGGAATACTATGACCAGAGCTCTAAAATGTGAATGGTTTTTATTTCTGGGTAAGCAGGATTAAGTGTTACTTTTGTTGCTTATTTTTAATTTTCTGTAGTGGGGCTGTTTTGCTTTTTTAGCCAAAATGGTAGCTTGATTTTTTTACAACTGTAGTGTAAAGTATCTAAGAATCTGTTTTTATGTTTTATATTTGTATGTGGTTCGTCTCCCTTCTTAGGAAATTAAAACTTCAGAAGAAATTGATGAAGCTTTGAAGATAGCAGGCTATAATTTGGAACAATTAAGTATTGCTGTAAAAGTAAGCATTTTGAATGATTAAATTCTATCATGAAGTGAAAACATGTCCTCTTTAAATTCCATTTGGATGTGTTACCACTGAGGTTAGAGTTAGCACTGAGTTACTAAGCATGATACTCTAATAATAGAGAAATATATAAAGAATGGAAAACTTTTGCCATGGCCTACAAGATTGGTCTTATAGCATTGTTATGCTAGGAACCCAATGAAATTGGAGCTTTATTAAGGAACCACTGACTTCTACTTGCTGTGAGCTCAATTTTGTTTCAGATCAGCATTGCAGATCATCTTTCCAACATTTGCTCATTATTTGGCTATATCTGCCTGCTGAAAGAGTCTTACTCTCTATTCCCTGCTCTTCGCCTGCCTCTCCCACCCCAAAAGAGAGACTCACTCATTTGATGACAAGAAATAAGCTCTTCAGCACCCAGCAACAACAGATTACAATCAGGGAGTTCAAAAGGTTATAGCTGATTATGCTGTGGCTGGTTTTTTTTTTTTTTTTTTTTTTTGCATAGAAGAACAAGACATTTTCGATTGGCTAAAAGTCACTATCAAAAGTCATTTCTCAAGGGGAGTGAGAAACTTGATAAAAGTAACAAGATAGAGTTATGAGAGAAGAAAAACATTGAGGAAAGAAGGGAAAAAAGAATGCCTGTGATGATAAAGAGTTATAACAAGTGCCAGATGTAGTAGAGAAGAGGTTAGGACTTCAGCATCTGAATTTGGGAGAAGTGGACACAATCCAACCCAAAACAGACCACCCTCTGGCCTCTCAACATTTCTGTCCTCAGTGCAAAATACGTTTGCACCACCTCAACATCCCCAAAAGTCTTAACCCATTCCAAGATCAGTTCTAAGTATAAATTCTCTTCTAAATACCTTCTCAGTCAGTATGGGTGAGACTGAGAATATCATTCATCCTGGGGCAAAATTCCTCTCAAACTGTGAGCCTGTGAAACCAAACAAGAAGTTATTTGCTTCTAAAGTATGTTGGTGAAACAGGCATGAGATAAACATTCTCATTCCAAAAGGGAGACATTGGAAGGAAAAGGGGTCATGGTTCCCAAGCAGCAGTACTTAAAACTGCTTAAGATACAAAGAGAGGCATGGAATAGTTAATATTTTAATTCAAGTGAGGCTTCTAAGTTTTTCTTTTAATCTAGGGAATCCTTCAAAAGAGAAATTGAACTATCTAAAATGACTTATTTCCTGTAATGATAAAAGAAGATAAGAAAAAAGTTTAGAAAACTTATCAGTGGATTTTTTTAGATCTTTTTGCCACATTATCAGTAGAAAATGCCAAGATGATGTGATCTTGCTGACAAGTATCAGGATTTAAAGTTGATCCTTGTGACTTACTCTATTTATTATCGTCTTAATACCCTCTTGTGTTGTTGTTCTGAAAAGTCTAGAAAGTACCTTTTACTTTCAAAATTCTACAACTTCTACAAAATAAGAATTCCAGATTAAGTCTTTGTGTTGTTTTTCCCAGACGCTTGAACACATAGAGAATCAAACAAGAGAGGAGACAGAAAGTGTTCTAGAGGTTGTAGAGAAACAATTCGATCAGCTTTTTGCTTCTCTTGATTCCAGGTAATAGCTAAAAAATACAGACTCAATGAAACTGAAGTTTTTAACATTAACTTGTCATTTTATTTGTTTAGATTGAAGTAACGAGTAACTTTTAAACAAGTTTGGTCGCCACAGATTGATGTTTAGAACTTCAAAATGAAAAACAATTTGTACATTTTTTTTAATTTTGGCTTGTTTGCCTTCTGGTCCCAAAATTAACTGTTAAAGTAAACAATCTTCTTACTTAAAGCAGCACAGAAAAAAAAATTTCAAAACCTAAATTATGTGGAATTCAGTATACTTGGGAAAATACAAATACACTTTTTCTTATATTAATAAATAGTTCTATCATTTTTCATGTGCTTATTTGCATCAGAACAGAAGCCTTTCTAACAGCATTTACTAAACAAATATTATCATATTATTATTGTATATCCATTACTTTTTGAAAAGCTCTTCTATATAATCTTTCATTCCATTATGCATTTCAAGAAACAGGCTCATAGAAGTTGTGACATGCCCAAAGTAATATGTCAGTAATACTACTTGTCCCTTTGATACTTCAGTGCTTTTTCAAAAAAAATCTCCTGAGAATGTCTAGAACATCGGCTCTAGACATATGTGTGAATTGGTTGATGTTCTTTATTCTCCATGTTGATGCTGTCTCATATTTGTTTTTTAATTATAGTATTCAAGTAATAGGTCATATGCATCAGTTTAATTTTTTGTATTTTTAGAGTGATCAAATGCAAATAACGCAAAATTTACCTTTTTAACCATTTTTTTCCCTTGGAAAGGTAATTGCATTTTTTTCCTTTTTAACCATTCTTAAATGCACAGTTTAGTAGCATGTAGTAAATCTGTGTTTAACTTTTTGAGGAACTGCCAAACTGTTTTCTACAGTGGCTGAATGTACCAATTTACTTTCCTACCTGCAGTACACAAAGGTTCTGATTTCTACACGTCCTCACCATCACTTATTACTATTTTTTTTCTTTTTTGATAGTAGCCATCCTAATGAGTGAAAAGTTGTATCTGACTGTGGTTCTGATTTGCATTTTCCTAATGATTGGTGGTGTAGAGCATCTTTTCATGTACTTATTTATTGGCCATTCTTCAAAGAAATATTCAACTCCCTTGTCCATTTTTGAATTGGATTGTTTGCTGCTGTTGTGTTGTAGCAGTTCTTTTTTTTTTGAGACAGAGTCTCGCTTTGTTGCCCAGGCTAAAGTAAGTGCCGTGGCGTCAGCCTAGCTCACAGCAACCTCAAACTCCTGGGCTCAAGCAATCCTGCCTCAGCTTCCTGAGTAGCTGGGACTACAGGCATGCATCACCATGCCCAGCTAATTTTTTCTCTATATATTAGTTGGCCAGTTAATTTCTTTCTATTTATAGTAGAGATGGGCTCTCACTCTTGCTCAGGCTGGTTTCAAACTCCTGACCTCGAGCAATCCACCTGCCTCGGGCTCCCAGAGTGCTAGGATTACAGGCGTGAGCCACCACGCCCAGCTGTAGCAGTTCTTTATATTATATATTCTGGATATTAAATTCTTATCAGATATATGACTTACAAATATTTTCTCCATTCTGTGCATTGTCTTTTCTTTCTTTTTTTTTTTTGAGACAGTCTCGCTTTGTTGTCCAGGCTAGAGTGAGTGCCGTGGCATCAGCCTAGCTCACAGCAACCTCAAACTCCTGGGCTCAAGCAGTCCTTCTCCCTCAGCCTCCCAAATAGCTGGGACTACAGGCATGCGCCACCATGCCCGGCTAATTTTTTCTTATGTATATTAGTTGGCCAATTAATTTCTTTCTATTTATAGTAGAGACGGGGTCTCGCTCTTGCTCAGGCTGGTTTCGAACTCCTGACCTCGAGCAGTCTGCCCGCCTCGGCCTCCCAGAGTGCTAGGATTACAGGCGTGAGCCACCACACCCAGCCTCATTCTTGATAGTATTCTTTGATCCCCAAAAGTTTTTAATTTTATGAAGTCCAATTTATCATTTTGTTTATTGTGTGTCCTTTTGGTGTTATATCCAAAATACCATTGTCAAATCTAACATCATGGTGCTTTTCCCCTGTGTTTTCTTCTGAGAGTTTTATAGTTTTAGTTCTTACATTTAGATCTTTCATCCATTTTTTTAGTTAATTTTTATATATGGTATAAGGTAAGGATCCAACTTCATTTTTTGAAATTGAATATCCAGTGTTCCCAGCACTATTTGTTGAAAAGACTGTCCTTTCCCCATTGGATGGTCTTTGTAACCTTGTCAAAAATCAGTTCATCATCGTATATGTGAAGATTTATTTCTGGGATTTCTATTTTAGTCCACTGTTCTGTATGTCTGTCCTTATGCCAGTCCCACACTGTTGTAATTACTGTAGCTTTGTATTAAGTTTTGAAATCAGAATGTGTGAGTCCTCCAACTTTGTTCTTCTTTTTCAAGATTTTTTTGCTATTTAGGGTCTCTTAAAATTCTATATGATTTTTAGGGCGGATTTTTCTGTTTCTGCAGAAAACATCATTGGAATTTTGTTAGGGATTGTGTTGATTAGTACATTACTTTGGGTATTGTTGACATTTTTGTTTTTAAAAAATTTTTAATTATAGGTACATAATAGTTTGTTTTTTTTTTTTTTTTTTTTTTTATTTCAGAAATTCTGAGCCATTGAATATACATAATAGTTTGTATAGCTTTATAGGGTACATGTGATGTTTTGATACAGGCAAATAGTGTGAATTGATCAAATCAGAGTAATTAGGGTATCCATCACTTCAGGCATTTATCATGTATCATTTGTGTTAGGAACATTCCAATTCCACTTGTTTAGTTATTTTAAAGTATACCCTAACTTGATGTTGATTAAAGTTACTTTGTTATGCTATAAAATATTATTCATTCTATCTAACTATATTTTTGCACCCCTTAACTGTCCCCACTTTATCGCCCCCTGCCCCTGCTACCTTTTCCAGCCTCTGGTAACCATCATTCTACCCTCTGTCTCCATGAGATTGTTTGTTTTTAATAGGTCCCACACATTAGTGAGAAGATGTGAGACTTGTCTTTCTGTGCTTGGCTTATTTCACTTAACTTAATGTTCTCCAGTTCCATCCATGTTGTTGCAAATGTCAGAATTTCATTCCTTCTTGTGACTGTATAATACTCCATTGTGTATATGTACCACAATTTTTTTTATCCATTCATCGTTGATGGACACTTAGGTTGATTCCAAATCCTGCCTATTGTGAATAGTGCTTCAGTAAACGTGGGAATGCATATATCTTTTCGATAGACTGAATTCCCCTCCTTTGACTGTATATCCAGCAGTGGGGTTGTTGGGTCATATGGTAGTTTTATTTTTAGTTTGAGGAACCTCCATACTGTTCCCTATAGTGGTTGCACTAATTTACATTTCCACCAACAGTGTACAAGGGTTCTCCTTTCTCCACATTCTCTCCAGCATTCATTATTGCTTCTTTTTTTTTTTGCATTTCTCTGATGACTAATGTTGAGTATTTTTTCATATACCTGTTGACCATTTGTATGTCTTTTGCCCATTTTTAATCAGAGTATTTCATTTTTTCCTATTGAGTTGTTGGAGCTGCTTATATTAATATATTATAGTTATTAATCCCTTGTCAGATGGGTAGTTTGCAATTATTTTATCCCATTCTGTGAGTTGTCTCTTCACTTTGTTTCCTTAGCTGTGAAGACGTTTTTTAGTTTTATGTGATCCCCTTTGTCCGATTTTGCTTTGGTTGGCTGTGTTTTAAGGATATTGCTCAAGAAGTCTTTGCCCAGACCAATGTCCTGAAGCATTTGCCCAGTGTTTTCTGCTAGTAGTTCATAGTTTCAGGTCTTAGATTAAATCTTTAATCCATTTTGATTTGATTTTTGTATATGGTGAGAGGTAAGGGTCTAGTTTCATTCTTCTGCACATGGATATCCAGTTTTCCCAGCACCATTTATTGAAGAGACTGTCCTTTCCCTGCTGTATGTTGTTGGCAACTTTGTTGAAGATAAGTTCATTATAGATGTGTGGCTTTATTTCTGTGTTCTCTATTCTGTTCTATTGGTCTAAGTGTCTGTTTTTATGCAAAGACCATGCTGTCTTATTTACTACAGCTCTGTAGTACAATTTGAAGTCAGGTAATGTGATTCCTCCAGTTTTTTGTTTTTTTTTCTCAGGATGGTTTGGGCTATTTTGGATCTTTTGTGGTTCCATATAAATTTTAGGATTATTTTTTCTATTTCTGTAAAGAATGTATTGGTATTTTGATGGGGGTTGTGTTAAATCTGTAGATTGCTTGGGGTAGTGTGGACATTTTAACAATATTGATTCTTCCAATCCATGAGCATGGAATATCTTTCCATTTTTTTATGTCCTTTTCAATTTCTTTAATCCATGTTTTATAGTTTTCATTATGTAGATCTTTCAATTTGGTTAAATTTACTCCTAAGTATTTCATTTTATTTGTAGCTATTGCAAATGGGATTACTTTCTTGGTTTCCTTTTCAGCTTGTTTGCTTTTGGCATATAGAAATGCTACTGAGTTTTGTATGTTGATTTTTGTATCATGCAACTTTACTGAATTTGCTTATAGGTTCTACTAGTTCTTTTTCTGGAGTCTTTAGGTTTTTTGTACATATAAGATCGTATAATCTGCAAACAAGGATGACAAGGATGATTTCACTTCTTCCTTTCCAATTTGGATGCCCTTTCTTTCTTTCTCTTGTCTGATTGCTCTAGCTAGAACTTACAGTAGTATGTTGAATAAGACTTTTTTTTTTTTTGACAGGGCCTTGCTCTGTTGCCCAGGCTGGAGTGCAGTGGTGTGACCATAGTTCACTGTAGCCTTTAAAACTCCTGGGCTCAGGTAATCCTCCTGCCTCAGCCTTCTTAGTAGCTGGGACTACAGAGGTGAGCCACCATGCCCAGCTAATTTTTGTTTTGTTTTGTTTTTTGTAGAGACAGTGTCTTGCTATGTTGCCACTCCTGTACTCAAGTGATCCTCCCACATTGGCCTCCCAAAGTGCTGGGATTGTAGGCTTCAGCCACCGTGTCTTAACCTGACATCTTTTTTCTTTTTTTTAAATTTCTGGATATATTATGGGGGTACAAATGTTTAGGTTACATATATTGCCTTTGCCCCACCTGAGTCAGAGCTTCAAGTGTGTCCATCCCCCAGACAGTGCACACCGCACTCATTAGTTGTGAATATACCCATTTCCTCCTCCCCTCCTTACCTTCCCAACACCCAATGAATATTACTACTATACGTGCACATAAGTGTTAATCAGTTAATACTAATTTGATGGTGAGTACATGTGGTGCTTGTTTTTCCATTCTTGTGATACTTCACTTAGAAGAATGGGCTCCAGCTCCATCCAGGGTAATGCAAGAGGTGCTAGATCACCATTGTTTTTTGTGGCTTAGTAGAACTCCATGGTATACATATATCACATTTTATTAATCCATTCATGTATTGCTGGGCACTTGGGTTGTTTCCACATCTTTGCAGTTGTGAATTGTGCTGCTATAAACAGTCTAGTGCAGATTTTTTTTTTTTTTAATAGAATGATTTTTTTTCTTTGGGCCAATGCCCAGTAATGGAATTGCTGTATCAAATGGTAGTTCTATTTGTATCTATTTGAGGTATCTCTATATTGTTTTCCACAGAGGTTGTACTAGTTGCAGTCCCACCAGCAGTGTATAAGTGTTCCTATCCCTACACATCCACGTGAACATTTATTGTTTTTGGACTTTCTGATAAAGGCCACTCTCACTGGAATTAAGTGATAGCTCATTGTGGTTTTGATTTGCATTTCCCTGATGATTAGAGATGTTGAGCATTTTTTCATATATTTATTGGCCATTACTCTTTCTGCTTTTGAAAAGTTTTTGTTCATGTCCTTTGCCCACTTTTTTTTTTTTTTTTTTTTTTGAGACAGAGTCTCGCTTTGTTGTCCAGGCTAGAGTGAGTGCCGTGGCATCAGCCTAGCTCACAGCAACCTCAAACTCCTGGGGTCGAGTGATCCTTCTGCCTCAGCCTCCCGAGTAGCTGGGACTACAGGCATGCGCCACTATGCCCGGCTAATTTTATATATATATATCAGTTGGCCAATTAATTTCTTTCTATTTATAGTAGAGACGGGGTCTCGCTCTTGCTCAGGCTGGTTTTGAACTCCTGACCTTGAGCAATCCGCCCGCCTCGGCCTCCCAAGAGCTAGGATTACAGGCGTGAGCCACAGCGCCCGGCCTTTGCCCACTTTTTGATAGGGTTGTTTGATTTTTTTTCTTGCTGATTTTCCTGAGTTCTAGATAGATTCTAGTTATCAGCCCTTTATCGGATGTGTAGCATGTGAATATTTTCTCCCATTTTGTTGGTTGTCTGTTTGCTCTCATGATAGTTTCCTTGGCTGTGAAGAGGCCTTTTAATTTGATCAGGTCATGTTTGTTTATTTTTATTGTTACTGTGATTGCCTTTTTGGGGTCTTCTTCATAAATTCTTTCCCTAGGCCAATGTCTATAAGAGTTTTTTGAACATTTTCTTCTAGAATTCTTACAGTTTTTCGCCTTGGCTTTAAGTCTTTTATACACTGTGAGTTGATTTTTGTGAGTGGTGAGAGGAGTGGATCCTGTTTCAGTCTTCCACATGTGGCTATCCAATTTTCCCAGCACCATTTATTAAGGGTTCTTTTTCCCAGTGTATGTTTTTGTCTGCTTTGTTAAAGATTGGATGGCTATATGAGGATGGTTTTATATGTGGGTTCTCAGTTCTGTTCCATTGGTCTATGTCTCTTTTGTTGTGCCAGTACCATGCTGTTTTAGTTACTATAGCCTTGTAATATAGCTTGAAGTCTGGTAAATTGATAACCTCCCATTTTTCTTTTATTGCCTAGGATTACTTTTGCTATACGGGGTCTTCTCTGGTTTGATACGAAGCATAAAATTATTTTTCCTGTATCTTTGAAAAATGATGATGGCATTTTAATAGGGCTGGTCTAGAACTCCTGGGCTCAAGCGGTCCTCCTGCCTCAGCATCTCAGAGTGCTAGGATTACAGGTGTGAGCCACCGTGCCTGGCCTGATTTTTTCTTGTTCTTTGTCCACATTTCTCTTCAGCTCTTTGAGCATATTAAACACAGTTGTTTTAAGACTGTCTACTAAGTGTAATGCTTGCTTCTTCAGGAATAGTTTCTACCACTCTGTTTTCATCCTTTCAGTGGACCATGTTTTTCTATTTCTGTGTATGCCTAGTGGTGGTTTTGTTGAAACTGAGCATTTGAAAAAATAGCCGCCTCCCCCAGTCTTTGCAGACTGGCTTTTGCTAGAACAGGCCTTTACTGAGTAGCTGGATGTGCCCTGAGACTAGGGATCAGCCTGAGGGGAAGGCCTGAGGTCTTCTCCGGTATTTTCTGAGCATGCTATCTCGCCTGCGCCTCATTGTGGCTTTTTCAATTCCCCTGTGTACATGGCTGCTTTTATATGTCTTAATTTCCCAAATTAAATGTCTCAGCTCAGCTTCTCCTCCAGGCTTTATGTGGTCTATTGTATGTCTTTATCTGTAATCACTTGCCTTCTAGAAAATTTGCTTTTTCTCTAATTATACATATTTTTTAACTAATACATTTCAGTTCAGTTAAATGCTTCATGTACCGTGTTATATGTTAAGTTTATCAAGTACTAAAAGTACCCTTTTAGATATAGTTCAGTTACTGTATGCCTCATTTAATTGTTAAATTCATCAACTAGTAAAATTATCCTTTCAGATACTGTTACTATAAATTTACATTTATATAAATGTTTATGAAATACTGCAAAATAACTTTGAGATCTTAAATGAAGGAAAAAGAACCTGTGTGACGAACTTGTAAGAAATAGAGATGATTATCTGTCGAATTTAACAATGACGAAAAGCTACATTGAAGAGAAAAAAAATGATTTGGATGCAGCTATGAAGATAGCAAAAGAGTTAAAATCAGCACCTTCTCTGAGAACATATTGTGACCTTAATCAGGTAATTTAATATTTTACAATGTGAATTATTTCTGTTGTAGCTTATTTTACATGCTTTGGAATGATATAGTTAAGACTTAAGAAGACTGTGTTTTTCAGATTAACCTAACCTGTATTGTCATCAATTTAGAATTCTTAGGCATTTGAAATCTAAGACCAACATCATAAAATGTGGGCTGGGTGCGGTGTCTCACCCCTGTTATCCTAGCACTCTGGAAGACCGAGGCGGGAGGATCGCTCAAAGTCAGGAGTTCAAAACCAGCCTGAGCAAGAGTGAGGCCCCGTCTCTACTAAAAATAGAAAGAAATTAATTGGTCAACTCAAAATATATAGAAAAAATTAGCCGGGCATGGTGGTGTGCATGCCTGTAGTCCCATCTACTTAGGAGGCTGAGGCAGAAGGATTGCTTGAGCCCAGGAGTTTGAGGTTGCTGTGAGCTAGGCTGAAGCCATGGCACTCTAGCCAGGGCAACAGAGTGAGACTCTGTCTCAAAAAAAAAAAAAAATGTGTATGGTCTTTTATTTTATTTTTTTTACCACTTAGGGAAATAGTGTAATAAACTTTTTGTAACACATGATGTGACAGCTAGCAGAGTGACATTGAGGTGAAATTTGTGGTTTCTAAGACACCTGGATAGAAAATGAGGCCAAATAAGAGTAACAAACCAAAGGATACTCTGTTTTCTTCTCATAAACAATTTAGGTATAGATGTCAACTCTTGACTTAAAATGTAATTCAAGATCTCATTCATGTTTTTCTCTTCCCACCTCTTCAGTGCAAGTCAAGAGACAAGCTGCTTCAGCTATCTCTTGTCATCTAATCATGTGTCCAAAGGGCAGAATTGGGCAAAAATAAAAAACAACAACCATGTTTCTTGTAAGATACCATAATTTGGCAAGACAAGGTTAATCATAGATCTTCTTTGCTGATTTCTGCTCACTCTGTAAGGGTGTAGATGCTGCTCTAGTCATCTTTGGCTCCTCAGGGTCTCATTCCCATAGGAAATCAAATATTGGGACTGAACCAAAATACAGAAGCCATTGGTTTACCTGGCTCCAAGGTCTCTAACTTTATTATTAATTTTTTCTGATAACACAAATCTAGATTGTTTTTATTATTTTTCTTTAAACAATTGTCAAGACTGGAATCAAAGATTAAATAGAAGGATCAACAGTTTTGCTCTGTTTTTTTGTTATTTGCATTTGGGGGATTTTTTTTGTCTTTTGTTTTTTACAAATACAAATTAAACATGAAAAAACTCTACTTCAAAAAAATCTAACGGTTCAAGAAAAGCATATCAGTTGCAGTCTAGACATTTAAAACCTATCTCACAATTTAAATTTTAATGGTAAAAACAGGTTTTAGAATTGTTTTGTTATCAAGTATCAAAAGAAAAAACTCTATTAACACCTTTTATTCAGTTATTAACCATACCAGTAAGCATCAGAATTCTCAAATTTTCCAATGGCAATTTCTCCACACCAGAAGATAGTCATGACTCTCAAAGAAGAAACAATTTGGCCTTTTCCCGCCTTTAAAATGTTTATCAATCCTGTATTTCTCACAGGCTTTTGAAACACATAGAAAATAAGTAAGAAATATTCCAATAAATGAAACATACCAAATGTCAGTAATGAGTGAGACATTCCTTTGGGGAAATGGCTGTTAAAAAAAAATCCAGTCTGTATATGCAAAGTAAGCAAGGAAATTCAGTCTTTTCTTCTTCTTTAAAAATCTGTTACTACTAAAATATCATTCTACAAAATTGGAAGTGAAGGACTAAAGGAGAGGGAAGAGATGGGGAGGGAGCACACACTATTAACACGAAATCAAAGTAAAATTGTACAAACATAAGCGTTTATAATAGACTTGGATCATACTCCAAGATACCAAAGGGTGGTTGAAGAAATTCACCATTCTGCAGGAGTTAGGGTGTGAACTACTGTGTGAAGATCAGTGAAGAGCAATTCACTGCCTTGGAGCAATCCGCCTTCCCACTCCAAATCCTGGTTTCTGCACCATGCCTCCTCCTCGGGGAGGGCCTCTCATTCCACCACCCAGCCCACCTTGAGGGCCTCCAGGTCCTCGCAGGCGGTTATCTTTTTCTTTTTTTTTTTTTGAGACAGAGTCTCACTTTGTTGCCCAGGCTAGAGTGAGTACCATAGCGTCAGCCTCGCTCACAGCAACCTCAAACTCCTGGGCTCAAGCGATCCTTCTGCCTCAGCCTCCCAAGTAGCTGGGACTATAGGCATGCGCCACCATGCCTGGCTAATTTTTTCTATATATATTAGTTGGCCAATTAATTTCTTTATATTTATAGTAGAGATGGGGTCTTGCTCTTGCTCATGTTGGTTTCGAACTCCTGAACTCAAATGATCCGCCCGCCTCGGCCTCTCAGAGAGCTCGGATTACGGGTGTGAGCCACTGCGCCTGGCCTAAAGCCTGGTTGTCATTAGAGAGAAGCCCCATCACCTGGACCACCACCACCATCATTCAGAGTGGCATGAGTATCAACATAGTGAATCTTGGTGTGGCAGTTGGTGAAGTTTTGTGACATCACTTTCCTATGGATTTCTTTCTGTCCGTAGACTGCATCAGCGGGCTTTCTATTTGAGTCCAATCCCCCACGGACATAAGAGTTTTTTCCATAAAATCTATGTAGCATGTATGGGGCCTGGTTCAGCAGTGTATAATACTGTCTCACAAATTCCCGCCCGACCATCAGGGGACTAGGCTTCTGCATCACCATTGCTTTGGTCAATTCAACCTGCGCAACAGAGTGGGAGAGGAACAAGCTTTGCTCCACTGCACTGAGGATGGCAGATATCCCTCACGCAACTGCGTCCGCCAAAGTCTCTAACTTTAAATGAAAGAAAGAGTTGGCTTCCTTGAATTGTAGTTCTAAAAATGGTAATAGTCATTTCCTGGGTATTACATGTGAGGCACCAGGAGGTGAAAAAATGATAAAATTTGGTCTTCACTCTAGTTAGGAAAAGAAAAGAAAAAAGAAAACATTTGAAGATAGCAATATAGGTGGACAATGAATCTGATCAGAATTTTCTGTGTTTCTGTAGCTCTATCCCATTTCTTAGCTAATGTCTGTTACCTTTTTTTATGGTCTTGCTTTTTTGCCAAGGCTAGAGTGCAGTGGCATCATCGCAGCTCACTGCAACATCAAACACCTGGGCTCACATGATCCTCCTGCCTCAGCCTCTTGAGTAGCTAGGACTACAAGAGTGTGCCACCATGCCTGGCTAATTTTTGTATTTTTTTTTTAAGAGATAAGGTCTCACTGTGTTGCTCAGGCTGGTCTTGAACTCCTGGTCTCAAGGGATCCTCCCACCTCAGCCTACCAAAGTGGTAGGATTATAGGCATAAGCCACCATGCCTGGCGTGTCGTTTTCTTTTAATATTAGGTCATTAAATATGAAATGTCTGATTGCAAATCAAATATCTAGTTTATTATATCTCAAACAAGAAGCAGTATAGTCAAAGTATGTGCCTGAATTATCTACACAATTTTGCCATCTTAAGGGCAGCTTGTTTGTGACAGCAGCAAAGAAGCCTGGAGAGCGAGTAGTGTTGAAATCACAAAAGGCATTTTCCACAGCTTGTTGAAAATTGAATATTTTTCCTTGGAAGAAGTGGTCTAAAGCCTGGAGGGAAGTGATAGTCAGTTGATAGCCTGTAGGGTCAAAGTGAAATATCAGAGATTTCAGCTGTCAAACTTAGTAATTAAGGAAATCAGACATTTCATACTTAATGACCCTAATACATATTTTCAAAATATTTTAAACTCATTTTGGAAAAATAGTCATAAGTACTTATTTGCATCCCTTCCTTTGGGTGCCCCAAATTGAACCTTGAATGAATTAATGAAATACCTATAGAGTATAATTGTCCTTTTAAAATCTGTTTCATCTATATATATATATATATATTTTTTTTTTTCTTTTTTTGGAGTCTTGCTCTGTTGCCTGAGCTAAAGTGCTGTGGTGTCAGCCTAACTCAGCAACCTCAAACTCCTGGTCTCAGGTGATCCTCCTGTCTCAGCCTCCTGAGTAGCTGGGTCTGTGGGCATGTTGCCACCATACCTGGCTAATTTTCTATTTTTCGTAGAGATGGGTCTCACTCTTTCTTGCTCAGACTGGTCTTCAACCTCCTGAGCTCAAGTGATCCTCCTGCCTTGGCCTCCCAGAATGCTAGGATTACAGGCATGAGCCACTCTGCCCAGCCTCATCAATATTTGTGACAGAAGCAAATTCACGCATGAATGACACTTCTTTTTTGATTCTAGATTATCCGAACTTTGAAGTTAACGTTAGAGAGTGAATTGTCAAAAGTTAGTTCTCTAAAACTAAGGAACCCTCCCAGGTGAGTAAGTCATAACAGGAGACTGTAACAAGTATAAAGATGTGTTAGACCTAAATTTATTAAAATAGCAAGCAATTATAGATTGAAAATTTGGGTCGCAAATGTTTCCCAAGTTAGCAACAAAACTAAGATAAGTGTAATATATGATAAATTAGGAAGTTATTTAAATGTTTTCTTTTCAATTAGCTCTTTCAATGTTTGCAACTGATTTTTATTTAGAGAAAGTAATAAACTTGTATTAGAACATTTGCTAGTATGCTTAATGTTTTATTTTAGATTGACTATGAATTGCAGTGAGATCATCTGTATGTTCAACGATATGGGAAAGATTGAATTTGAGGACTCAGTAAAGTAAGTATAATATCAATATGCCATTAGTGTCTGACAGTACCCTTGTTCTCTAAGAGACAAAAAAATTGATGTTGAGTGTAGTTTGATTAAAAATAGAAAGAATAATTTAAAGGATAAAATAGCTTCTATAGTTAAATTCTATGTATAATATTTTTTTAAAGGCCTAGAAAGGTCAGTAAGCATTGAGCATTGCTAGGCGCTGACACCCTAGATATTGAGATATATGTCAGAGACATTACAATAAGTACAGGAAGACAGACATGTAAACAGTAATATTAATAACCACTTCTTGGCCTTTTGGCTAAGATTAAATGTAGACAAACAAACAATAAAATGCATGATTTCTATGAAAATATGTACAGAATTTAGTGGAAGTGCAAAGGAAGGGAATGATCATTTCTTCCTGGGAGAACATGGGACTTGGAAAGAGATTTTATTTTTTCTTATCCGTGAAAAATGAGTAGCAAGTGAAAAAGAGAACAAAAGGAAAGTAGACATCAATGTATGGGCAGCGAAATAACGTGCTGCATTCAGGAAGCTGTATATATAATTCCATTCCATATGTACCTGAGGATACATAGACTAAACATAGTCCTGCAGATTTTGTGCGCTGTCTAATGGTGTTTGAACTTTATTTTCTTGGTTCATACTGTCCAGTATGGTAGCCCTTGACTACATGTGGCTGTTTAAATTTAAGCACAAATAATTAAAACCAAATAAAATTAAAATTCAATTCCTCAATGGCCTAGCCTAGCTACATTTCAAGTGCTCAGTAGCTACATGTGGCTAGTGGCTACCTGTCTCAGTCCATTTGTGACAGACAGGCTGTGACAAAATATATGAGAGTGGGTAACTTACAAAGAAGAGAAATTTATTTCCTTACAGCTCTGGAGGCTGGGAAGCCCCACATTAAGGTGCTGACAAGTTTGGTGTCTAGTGAAGGCCCTGATTTCTGCTTCAAAGTGGCACCTTGAATACTGTATCCTCACGTAGCAAACGTATCCTCTCATGGTGGAAGAGCAGACTAGTAAAAGCAGGTCTAAGCTAGTTCCCTTTGGCCCTTTTATAAGGCACTGATACGTTTGTGGGGCATGACTTAATCACTTCCCCAAAGGCCCCACCTCTTAATATCTCCACAGTGGAGATTAAGTTTCAACATGAATTTTAGAGCAGACATTTAAAACTATATTAGAAACAGCACATTCCCATTATCACTGAAAGTTCTGTTGTACAGTATAGCCCTGGGCAGTAGAAAGCCTCTAAAAGGTTTTAAGCATGAAAGTAAAAATAATTAGGTTACATTTTAAAAAGATAACTCTGGTGGCCATTTAGGGGATTATTTGGGGGAGAGCGTGACAGTGGAGGCCGAAGGATTAATTAGGCTGTTGTATCAATAGACTCAGCCAACGATGAGAACCCAAACTTAACAGGATAGGAACTGAGGATAGATACAACAAATGCTAAATAACATTAATAAAACTTAGTAAAGTTTGAATGTGAAACTTCAGATTAGGAAAAGGAAAGCGTCCTCAATGATTTATAGGTCTGACTTTGGTGACTAAGTTGACAGATTGTGGTCAATTATTCATCAAGATTAGGAATATGGAAGAAAAGTAAGTTGGGAGGAGGAAGATAGTGGATATGTTGAGTTCCTATTGTTTACCAGCTATCTAGGGAGAAATGGGTCAAGCACAGTTGCATATATGTGCTGAAACTTAAGAAATCTTGGACTTGATTCTGAGTTTACAAGTAGTACAGAATATGGATGTAGTAGGAAACTCCAAAAAGGAAATGAGTTCACTTGTGTTTGTCTCCAAGGTAAATGGTCCCCCAAGAAGCATCACATTCATTACCTTGGGGAGCAAATCAGTCTGGCCCACAGTTTTTCAGTCTCAGAAACATATGTGGACATATCTACTCTAAGCCAGGTAAACTCATAAAAGCCAAGTTCACAAAACTGATGTATAGTCAAGATGCCAGTTTGTTAATGGACAAATATAACAGGAACTAAAATATTTATGATGGCATCCTTTTTTCCAATACCCACAATTGTCCCAAGTTGCTTTGTTTCTAGTCTTCTTTGGAATAAAGAGAATAAGATTAATCCAATAGTTTAACAGCATTCGGCTAAGATAGCTAACTGCATTCCTCTCCACCTGAGGGAAGAATCTTGCCAGACAAACTGGAATACCAGTCCTTCAGCCCAAATCATCTTCCCCCAGTGCTTAGGTGAGCTCTGCCACATGTTTGCCTCTGTTGCATCACTTTTTGTGCTTCTATGGATAATCAACAACTTTTGCTGTCAATTTGTTCTTTTAGATATTTTCATAACTTGAATATTGTTACTATCCAATATTTGTAAGACTAAAAACTATTCTGTCTCTTTAAGAGTCTACTGATCTTCTGTTGATTTTAAATTTAACTTTGGGAGCAGTTTTTTAAAAATTTTTCCTAGTTCTTAGGGAAAGTGTTACTGTAACCTGCCTGTACTGATTACATGATGGTAGGTGGTAATTAAACCATGGGTTTGCCCAGTTAGAGCAGGTGTTGAAATAGGTCAAGGACAGTATCCTGAAAGATATCAAAATTTAAAGCACGAAAAGGGTAATCTGAAAAAAACAAAAACAAAACTGAGAAGGAGCAGGCAGAGGTTGAAGGAGAACAGAAAAAAGTGGTGTTCTATAAGTCAGAAGAAGGTGGTTAACTAGTAAACATCTTAATAAGGTTTAGTGGGAATTGTTATGAAAAGAGATGTTTCGATTGCAAGGTTGTGTCCATGTGTCTCTCAGGTGTTTGGACCTTATTCAACATATATTAATTTTACTTATATTAAATGTCTGCTCTCTGTTGAAAGAGGCAGAAAAACATGTATCATTGCTAAATCCAGTTGACTTTGTTGGTTCTTATTTCTAAAATGGCTTCTTAATGATCTGTGAAGGAACTAAATCTATCATGAAGCTAAATCTCATAAAATACAAACTTTATGAGACTCAATATCATTTCATTGTCAAATTTCTATGTTTGTAGATTTGACAGCCAAAACTGTCTGGATATATGGAGAAGATAGAAAAATATGGAGTAGAATGGATAAATAATTAGTTGTGGGTTTATGGCTGTTGAATAATCATACCTAGAGAATTCAGATTAATGGTAATTATTAGCCTCAGCAGAAGTTTATAGTGATTTGCTCCAGGTTGTACCATACACCTCTGTGTTTGTAGCCATATATCTCTGTTTTTAAACAGATGTTATCCTCAAGAAAATGAGATTGGACAGAATGTTCAAAATAAATACAATAATAAAAAGGAGCTCTCTTGTCATGATACATACTCATCACTAGAAAAGAGAAAGGTTGACATGTCTATCTTAACCAGTGAAACACCACTACCTCCTTTGCAACCAGAAGCCAGTGATGTGCATTTAGAAGCAAAAAACTTCCAGTCACAGAAAGAGGTTGCAATGATGTCACCTAAAACCATTGCTGTGCTACCTCAGATGGGATCCAGCCCTGATGTGATAATTGAAGAAATTATTGAAGAAAACCTGGAAAGTAAGTGAAATGTAAAAGCAGGGGAGAAAAAAATCTTTTATCTGTAATTAGAAAGAATTTGTACCTTTTTGTTCTGTGCATTTAACAGAAACGTATTGCTGTTACAATCTTATTCTTTGTTATGAGTTAAAACCTGTTGATTCCATGCCCCTACTTCTCACATTTTCCAGAATTAGGATAATTTTTGTTTTCAATGCAATAATATAGCCACCCTCTGAATTGTACATTTAATATCTGGTTTAATTAGGGTATTTGACCTTTTTTAGTGTTCACATATAAACCTTTTATAAAAGATAATAAATGAGAGAAATGTGATTTATGGAAGCAGTTTTATTTATCTTAGTTAAGAGCAGCTTTTCTTTATCATTGTGCCACCATACTCCAGCCTGGGTAACAGTGAGACCCTGTCTCAAAAAAAACAGCTTCTCTTAAATCTTTGTCCTGTGATTTAATCTATTACAAGATAAACTATCATGAATGTGTCATCTGTTTTATAACATTTGGATATATCACAATTGTTTGATCGGATTTCCAGTGTTGGCATTCTCCCCATCATGGTAGGAGTGAGATACTACTATATTTAGTTTTATACTAATAGTCGTCTTTAGGACCATTTTCAAGATCTGCTTTTATTCCCTCCCTTCCATTGTCTATTTTACTGGTCGACTCTCCAGAATGACATTTTGATAAAAGGACAAACTCTTTTCTTTCCTTCCCATTGTATTATCACTGATGTAGCAGTGATTTAAGATACCTGTCATGACATGACTTACAGAAGGGATCTTGCCATTCAAGTATTTTGCCTATTCAAGCACAGCTTTTTAAACAGTAGCATGTCATTGTCAGCTTTAACATAATTAGTACAGTTGTCTTCATTTCTTATTTTGATAAAGCATACTTCACAGATTATCTTGTGGAGACACCTAGATATCCAAAAAAGCCTCCTCAGAAAAACTTAACTGTTCCTTTTGGATCAAAAGCAGGTACTTTAACAACTGTCTGAGCTTGATGTAGTGGTGTTTGCTGTATGTATAGTAATTTCATATGGTGTGAGACAGTAAGTAAAATGAATTTTACTGATAACCAAAACTTATTCCTTTCTCTTGTTAGAAGTTTTGACTCATTTTGACAAAAATATTTCTGAAATTTACAATATTTCTCTCAACTGTCACCCCAGTTATACATACTTATCTTTTTATCCCTTCCTCAATATGGGTATCATTCTTTGTAGTCTATATTGGATAATTAAAATCCATTTTTTTGATTTCTGTAATATGTCTACATTTGACTATTCAATTCCACTCCTAGTCTTTGTTTTCTGTTTGTTTGTTTTTTTTTTTTTTTTTTTTTTTTTTGAGACAGAGTCTCGCTTGTTGCCCAGGCTAGAGTGAGTGCCGTGGCATCAGCCTAGCTCACAGCAACCTCAAACTCCTGGGCTCAAGCAATCCTGCTGCCTCAGCCTCCCGAGTAGCTGGGACTACAGGCACGTGCCACCATGCCCGGCTAATTTTATATATATATATCAGTTGGCCAATTAATTTCTTTCTATTTTTATAGTAGAGACAGGGTCTTGCTCAGGCTGGTTTTGAACTCCTGACCTTGAGCAATCCACTCGCCTCGGCCTCCCAGAGTGCTAGGATTACAAGCGTGAGCCACCACGCCCGCCCTAGTCTTTGTTTTTTAAACAATTTACCAGATAAAACACTTAACTTTGTTCAGAAATTAAATATATTAAAATAGTCTGTGAAACTTCCCCCATTCCCATGCTATTCAGTCCCTCCCTTCCATATTTTCTTTATGAATTTACAAATAAATACACACAAATTATTTTTCTAACCGTCTTTGTGTGTGTGTGTTTTAACACAAAACATAGTATGCCATACACATTGTTCTGTGTTCTGTTTTTTGCATTCTTCCCATAATATTGTGCTTTGGAGATCTTGGAAATCTTTTCTTTGTTTTTTTTTTTGTTTGTTTGTTTGTTTAAAAGACAGGGTCTTGCTCTGTTGCCCACACTGGAGCACAGTAGCAAGATCGTAATTCACTATAGCCTCAAACTCCTGGGCTCAAGTGATTCTCCTGCCTCAGCCTTCTGAGTAGCTGGGACCACAGGCATGCTCTACCATACCATACTAGTTTTTAATATTTTTTGTAGAGATAGGGTCTTGCTATGTTTCCCAGGCTGGTCTTGAACTCCTGGCCTCAAGTGATCCTCCCACCTCAGCCTCCCAAAGTGTTGGGATTATAGGCGTGAGCCACCTCACTCAGCCAAGACCTTTTTCTATTAATATCAGTAGAAGCATTTGGCTTAATTACTCCTAATTAAGAAATACATGTATAGAAATTTCTAATATATATCACTGTCTTTACTCATTCCACCAAAGCACACACACATTCCTCTAAATGCTGCTGAGTACTTTGGCTTTTCCTAGACATTTTTTCACACCTCTCTAACCTGATTTCTAAGACCTGGGATTCAGAGGGCTGTAAGCTATAGGTATTGTATATGGTGGAGTATAGATTGAACTGGCTTTTGTAAGCTATCCTAGAAACCTAATCATTATCAATGGGATTCTGAGTTCCAAATATATCCATAAATAAGCTAATTTTTATAATACTGTGGAGTTACAGCATGTACACTGACTTTAGAATCTGTCGCATGAACTGTGATTCCACTTATATTTTACAAGTAATATAAAGTATTTGCAGTTCAGATTGCTAAATAATTCATGATTTAAAGTGATCCATTTGTTTTATCAGTCATTTAGGATTTGGACTCTTTCATTGACCTAGATTCAGTATTCTAGTGTTCACAGTGCCATAAGACACTTATTCTTTTAGAGGCTATTATAGTTTTTCAGCTTTTGTGAATTCTTTTCTAACCTGTGCTTTATTAATGAGGTTTAATTGATTCTTATGCAGGTTCTCCAGAGCTGGTTTTTGTAAGCCATGTAATACATCCTTGCCACTTCTACATTCGCAAATACTCACAAATAAAAGATGCAACAGTATTGGAAAAGAAGGTGAATGAATTTTGCAATAAGAGTTCCCATCTTGATCCTTCAGACATTTTGGAGCTAGGTAATGAAATACTACTCCAAGTTAAAATCAGGTTTATTTAAATATTATAATACTTGGCCAACCCACATAGACTTGTACAGGTATCTGTTACAAGTTAATAGCATAAAAGTTTTAGAATTATGTAACATAAGTTAGATTATTTAGGGAAGTTAGTTAAGGATTAAAATAGTTTTAGAGTGAGATACACAGAAACTCCACATGGAGAGGGGTGAGCTGCTTTTTAAACTATAAAACTTGTCAGGCTCAGTGGCTCACACCTGTAATCCCAGCACTTTGGGAGGCCAAAGCAGGAAGATTGCTTGAGCCCAGGAGTTTGACATCAGCTGGGCAACATAGCAATATCCTGTCTCAAAAAAAATTTTAGTTATCCATGAGTGGTGGTGCACACCTGTAAGCCCCAACTACTCAGGAGGCTGAATAGGGAGGATTGCTTGAGCCCAGGAGTTGGAGGCTGCAGTGAGCTATGATCGTGTCACTGCACTCCATCCTGGGCAGCAGAGCAAGACCCAGTCTCTAAAAACTAAACCATAAAACTCACAACAGGTTATATAGCCTACCCCCCCACCCCCATCTCCAGGGAAAACTGTGCCTCTAAGATGGTTCTTCCAGTGTAACTCCAGTGTCATCTTCTGTGTGGATATTGGGGCTAGAACTGAGCATTTTAGATTCAGAAGGCCTGTGGCACCCATTCATAGTGCCCGAAGGAGGGATAGTTGTAAATGTAATAAATCTGTTTTAATTCTGAGGGTGGGTGAATTTGTCATGCTTTAGGCTTTTGTTACAACTATTTTTCTTATAACACTGTTGACTGAATTTGATTATACTCTAATATAATGAAGCTATGATACGAATTTTTAATAGAGCATTTTTTCATGCTGTTAATAGCAATTGATGCCTATGTATAATTAATACCAAAACTATTTTCTGTCTAGTCTTAAATGATAAAAGTGTAATTAGCTCTCAGCCTATCTATATAGCTTTTCAAAATATCAGAAGACTAGTATCATCATATACATTTGACTGAATAATTCTAAAACTTAAATACTAATGTTATTTTTAAGAGGAGGGAGGTATACTATTAAACTTAATTTTTATGGTTGCAAATAGTTCTCTAAAATGTAATACATGCCCAAAGGAACTCAGCTTGTATTCAGAAAATGTTTTAAGAAAGCCAAAAAGATATCCTTTGCTTTAAGTTGTTAATGATAATTATGTAAATATAGTTGATTTAAATATTCATTTATATTTTGAGAATTAGTGATAAAGGAAGAAAGGTGAATTGGTGCTGTAGGAAAGGAGGGCATCCTCGTTCCCTTTTCCTACCTCTGTACTTCATTATAAAGAATAACAAATGACTTCAATAGACTTTCATTTATTGAAAGAAAGAATGGTTTCGTAGAATATACACAGCAGGTCCTCAAATAATTCATTTCATTATAATGTTGAGAAAAAATTGATTCCTAGCCAGGCCCTCTGTTTTGAGTTTGCACATTCTCCCCACGTCTTTGGGGTTTTCTTGGAGTCTTCCAGCTTCCTCTCCCATCTCAAGAATGTGCACACTAGTTAATCGGCTTGTCTGCATTGTTCCAGTCTGAAAGAGAATGTATGTGTGAGAGTACACTCTGCAAATGGAATGGTGTCCTGACCAGAGTTGGTTCCCGCCTTGTGCCCTGAGCTGCCTGAGTAGGCTCCTGCCACCCTCGACCCTTAACTGGAAAAAGCAAGTTGGAAAACGATGTATACAAATTATTGTAAAATAAAAATTAATAAACTATACGATCATCATACATATGCATGACAATAAATGATGCACTCAGTGAGCCCACCATATTTGTGATTGTTTTTGACTGTATGGTGGTAGGAGGGGCTCCTTTAAGTTTCTGCGTTGCAAACTTTAATTCCTTGATTTAAGCCACTACCACTGTGACTGCTGTCACTCACTGATTTCGTCAAAAATTGAGTAAATAGGCCGGGCATGGTGGCTCACGCCTGTAATCCTAGCACTCTGGGAGGCTGAGGCGTGTGGATCACTCAAGCTCAGAAGTTCAAAACCAGTTTGAGCAAGAGAGACCCTATCTCTACTAAAAAATAGAAAGAAATTAATTGGCCAATTAAAAAATATATAGAGAAAAAATTAGCCAGGCATGGTGGTGCATACCTGTAGTCCCAGCTACTCGGGAGCCTGAGACAGAAGGATTGCTTGAGCCCAGGAGTTTGAGGTTGCTGTGAGCTAGGCTGACGCCACAGCACTCTAGCCTGGGCAACACAGTGTGACTCTGTCTCAAAAAAATAAATAAATATTTTATCAGTCTTTTTTAAATGTACGTACAGCTAACATTCATTTCAGTGTTAGGGTCTTTATGTGGAATTTTGGTGATGTTTTTGTGGCCAGAAATATTCCATAAGAACCTAACTCTTGTTTATATCAGTTAGCCTACGGTAAGATTGGTTTTGTTATACATTGTTTAACTTAAAGTCACAGTTTCCAAAAACCTATCAACAACATTAAATGAGGACTTACTGTATTTTAAAATGAAGAGAATGTTGCTTGTATAGTATATCAAAATAAAAGGTTCACTGACAGTCCGAAGCCCAAACAAATGTTTTGGTAGAACTTAAAGAAAATTAAAAAGCTGCCCTAATGTGCCTTTCAACTGTCCCACTTTTATCAGTGTATGTAGAGGGGCTTATACAGTATCTCCCTGTATATAATCAGTGACCAAGGCTTACCAAATTTATCTCCAGTGTGTACTTTAGATGGGTTCTAGGATGACCTGGGTTCTCTTGCTACCTCTTCTAAGCAGCCATGTGGCTTGGGCTAGGTTTTCTGTCTCAGTTTCCTCACCTGTACTGTGGAAGCACTACCTCTATGGGGTTGTGGTAGGGATTAAGTGAATTCAAACAAAATACTGAGGACATTGCTGAGCTCATGGTGAACGTTCACATTCAGGCCTCTTAATCTTTTTTCCTGGTTATTAATTTTTAATCCATCTGGTCCCTCAGTAGGGTCTTGCTCTATTAAGTCCTTAGCTCATCTTCCCCTTCTCTGAACACCACTGGGTATTAATTTTGACATTTCATATGCTGCTTGTCATTGTTTCTTTTCTCTTACTCTCCTTTATCAAGAGAAGGTAATTATTTCTTCCTTTATTACAAACTTCAGCGTGTATATAAGTGTATGTGTGTACATGTGTGAGGATAGATAGTCTTCATTGTGGTAAGTACAGTGCATTATAGTAATTTATTTGCCTGTCTCTTTCTTGAACTTTTTGATGGCAAGATAGTCTCGTCTTTGTTAATGTAGTTCATGAAACATAGGTCATCATGCTGACCCACAACTGCTGACTTAGTACTTTGTGTTTTTTATCTCACCATTTAGCTTGTATAATGGCAACTGGCATAATATACTACATTATATTCTTCTCATAGTACTTTACACAATAGTATATGATCAGTAAATAAATGAATTAAGACTTTTTAGTGGTAGAACTAATGTGTTTGTAAATTAGAACTTCTTAGGTGTCTTTCTCATTAAACATGATTTGTCTCCCTCATTATTTAGGTACAGAAATATTTGTCAACAGTATTGAAAATGGAATGTGGTGTCGAGGAACTATCACTGAATTGATTCCAATAGAAAGTAAAAATATTAGAAAACCTTGTAGTCCAACCAAATTCTCAGTCCGTGAAGTTGCACTGATACAAATATTCATGGTAGACTTTGGAAATTCAGAAGCCCTAATTGTCACAGGGTATGATATTTTATAATATGTGTTTCTGGCTCACTTAGAAACATTTGTGGGGGGAATAAAGGAAATCAGAAAGGGATATAGAGGAGTAATTTTTCATTCTTCACTTCAAAGGCATACACTTTATTAGTAGATCATTAAATACGAAATGTCCAATTTTGAATCAAGTCTATTATATCTCAAGAAGCAGTACAATCAAAGTATGGTGCCTAAACTATTGACACAGTTTTGCCATCTTAATGGTAGCTTGTTTATGCCAGCAACAAAGAAGCCTGGAGAGCAAGTGGAAATGAAATTGCAAAAGGTGTTTTCCATAGCTTGTTGCAAATTGGATATTTTTCCTTGCTAGAAGTGGTCCAAAGCCTGGAAGAAGTGGTAATCAGTTGGTGCAAGGTCTGGTGAATATGGTAGATGACTAGTTTGAGCAGCGTTGTTTGTGTGACATGTGGCCGAGTGTTGTCTTGCAAGAGGATTGTATTGTCTCTGTTGACCAATCTCGGCTGCTTAATCTCAAGCATCCTCATTGTTTCATCCAGTTAATTGCTATAATTGATTGACCAGGTTTCATGAAACTATAGTGGATAATACCAGCACTGGACTACCAAGCAGACACCATTAGCTTTTTTTGATGAATATTTGGTTTTGGACTGTATTTCGGCACTCCATCTTTATCCAACCATTGTGCTGAATGCTTGCAGTTGTCAGAAAGAGTCCATTTTTCATCACACATAGCAATACAGTATAGAAATGACGATTGTTCTTATTACACTTGTTTAATTCACATGGAATCCATCTATCCAAATTCTTTACCTTGTTTCAAATGGTCCAGTAATGTTAGAATAGTAACATCAGACCTTGCTGGTAGTTCACACATAGGTTGAGATGGATTCACTTCCATTATAGCTTTCAGCTCATCCACATCTGTCTCAGGTCACCCACATGGCTCATTTTTCAAGATTAAAATCACCAGAACGGAGCTTCTCAAACCATTGACATACTGTGTTCCTTAGCCACATCCTTTCCAGACACTTTGTTAATATTTTGAGCTGTCTGCACTGCATTGGTTCTGCGATGGAACTAATATTAGAAAATAACATGAATTTTTGACTTATCCATGGTTTCACAAAAATTGCTCTAAAAAAATTTGAAAGATAATCACAAGCTAAAACATGTATTTAAAAGACTGAGGATGCACCTTCACAATAAGAACAGTGTCTAAGTGGAATATCAGCGATATCAACTGTCAAACTTAGTACTTAAGGAAATTGGACATTTCATACTTAATAACTTAATGTTTTGCTCTAGTCATCTTAATAAATAAAATATATTAGTTATCAATATTAATAGATAGGGAGCTTGGAAAAGGAACTTTTTGATGTATTCCAAACTTAAATACTCATGTCTTTAAAACAAGGAATAATGCACAAAACTAATTTTTTTAAATAAAATGTTAGAGTTAGCTGCAGATGATTGAGCTAAATTTTTAATCAGACTTCTGTAGTTAATGCTTGTCATACTGTCTAAATCTCAGCATTTAAAAATGTTTTCTCAGTCTTTTAGGAAAATAAATCAAAATGTTTCTGTAGTAAGGACCAATATTAATGGTAGTGTGATCACTTTATTGTCATAGTTTTATAAATGGATTTATGTTGGGTGGGGAAGGTCATTATATTCTTTAAGTTTAAATTGAATATGTATATGAAAGTTCAAATAAAAGTAGCTGAGATTTAATTCTATGTATGAAAACAGTGTCTGTGCTTATAGAAGCTAAATTACATCTGTATAGTATGAACTTTATAACTTTCTAGAAGATACAACTTAAAGTATCCTTAGAAATGCATACATTTTATGGGGAAAAGGAAGTTCAAGTATGAAGCGTTACTTAAATATTATTTGAATTCCTCTTAGAGTTGGTGATACTCACATGAGACCAGAACACACTGCTGAGCAACATGTTGTACTCAATGATTTATGTCTGGTTCTAAGGAAGTCTGACCCACACATTAAAGGGCTACTGAAAGACATTCAGCCATTAGCACAGCCATGTTCTTTGAAAGACATTGTTCCACAGAATTCAGTAAGTGAGACTTAAATTATTTCTTCTTTAGAGGCTTAATATTACAATTTTAGCTATGTTTGTCAATTAGATCACAGAGTGTAAGGTCAAGGAACCATTTATTTATCTTGGCAAATACACTTTGCATAATAAGCTATCAGTGCCATTAAAAAGGGAAATGAACTTTAACTTCCACAATTGAAAACATTCTTAACGGGAAATTGAGTTGAACAAGCATATATGAATATAACGATTGATGAAATATCCAAGTTAAACTAGTGATTTTGGAGTCTACTACATAAAGAGAAATAAGTTTAAAATATGACACAGTGTGTTTTTCTATACATTCCTTCTCTGTTTCCTTGTACTTCATTCGTTAGTCTGTTTATGGCTGATATTGCATTCTGCTTTGTATTTATGAGTATCTGTTCCCCAGCAAGATTGAAATCTCCTAGGAGGCAGGGATTGTGTATAACAAGATATCTTAAGCAGGTCTATTATTATAAGATCTGCGAAAGCAGGAGTCTGTCTTTGCTTATTGTTATTTTCCCAGCATTTAGCAATTATCACCTGCCACATAGTAGGCATTCAAGAAATACTTGAAATAATGAATAAATGAATAAAAAAAGGAAACATAAAAATATTAGTACTGGTGTTTTCCTCAAGATGGTGACATTGTTTTGTTCTTAACTTTCTCTTTTATACTTTTTTGCACTTTCTATACTGAATAGATATATGTTTATAATCATATGTCTGTGATCATATGGTTTATGTTTATAATCATAAAAACTTTAGAAAGCTATTTTACTTTTTGTTTTTAAGGAATTTGTGGTTTTGATCCTAGAAATTTACTCTAGGTATAATACTTAAATGTTCAAAGATCAACTTAAAAGTTTTTTTTCCAATAGGTGAATATTTTTTCTTATTTAAATAGCACATACCTCATACTTTGCTAGTAATGGAAGCTAGGTTAACTGATGATTATAAATATTTTGATTTTATTACTTTCAAAACAATCTTTTGAATTTTCATTAAGTAGAAAACTCATGTGTAATAAATATTTTCTTGCATTTTAAGGTCTTTATAATCTTCATATTAATATTCAAAAGTGACACTAAATTCTAAAGTAAAATCTTGAGTTAGCCCAGGTGACAGAGACCCCATCTCAAAAATAAAAAAAAATAATAAAAGCTTGAGAATATATTTATGTTATAAAGACTTCCGTTGGGTTTGTGGTCCTGGCTATTTCTTAATGTCTGTTTAGTGCCTTGACTCAAAGTTGCAGACTTGCTTGGTACAAAGCTAAATCCAGAACATTGTAACATTAGAACTAATTATACTTACTAGTTACTGTGGAATTTTACCTTTATAGAATGAAGGCTGGAAAGAGGAAGCTAAAGTGGAATTTTTAAAAATGGTAAATAACAAGGCTGTTTTAATGAAAGTTTTTGGAGAAGAGGATGGTGTGCTTATTGTAGATCTGCAGAAACCACCAACAAATAAAATAAGCAGTGATATGCCTGTGTCTCTTAGAGATGCATTAGTTTTTATGGAACTAGCAAGGTAAGTAACTTATTAAAATGCAAATATTCTTTGAGATTATAGCTAAACAAAAATACCAGATTTTGCCTTTAAAAACCATGGCTGTAGACTAAACCTCAACATACCCTAACAAGTTAAAACACGGCTGTCAGGGTTTTCTAAGTACAATTGTCTGTGAAAACTGCATTCAGATAATTTGGTTTAAGAAAATTGAGAAATTTCAAAGAGTGGCCAAAGTTCTAAATAAAGAAAAAAAAAAAAAAAAAGAAAATTGAGAAATTAAAGTAGCTCAAAATAGAAAGTATAAGTAGATTCTAAACAGTTTTTGTACTCTTGATAACTTTACAAGGAGCACTACTACTAGGGTTTCAAGAATTATAGTTTAACTGTTCCTAGCTTAAATTTTCTAACCTTTGGAATGAGTTCCTGATCACTACTCTATATTTAATGTATGAATCCAAAATAGAGAGTTAAAGTTTCTTTCTCCCTCATTTCTGATGTACTAAGTAACCATAGAGGTAGTGGAAGATCCTAACTTTCTGTCCTGGGTGATTAGATGACCCTGGAAGAGACCTAAGTAGATTCCATTCTAGAAAAATAAAATTAGAGTCTTGCAACTGGAAAGAGCCACAGACACCCCTTAGCTGGCCTCACCGAGCACTACCACAGATCACGGCTATTAATGTAACCACAAGTTAGAGTAGAAGCAGCTTTGAATGTAAGTGTGACATGCGGGCCCAGCTCTAAAATGTCCTAACACAAATTTGAAGGTTAATTATTGAGTTTTGAGACTGGGCATCTTATTTAACCTGGTTCAACAATTGGAGACAATACCAAGAAATGTTACAAGAAGAGAGAAATTGGAAAAGGAATATTTTTGATAAATAAGTCAGTATATGTACAAGTCCTTTCTTCAAATCAAGTCACTGAGAGAAGAGAGACTTTAAGAAAATGGCTCTTTCTTATGCTTTTCATTATGCTTTTAATTAGATTTAGGTCACAGTCTGAAAAAAATACAACTTTACACTACCATCCACCTATTTTGCCTAAAGAAATGACAGATGTTTCCGTTATGGTTTGTCATATAAATAGTCCCACTGATTTCTATCTTCAGTTGGTAAGTATATAATGTTTTTTGAAATTAAGTATCTTTAAAAATTTAAATTAGAAATGTATAAGAGGAATGAGTGCCAACTGTGAATTTTAGTTTGTGCAAATAAACCACTGTCAACCTTCTATAAATTTTTTTTTTTTTTTTTTTTTTTATGATATAGAAATTCAGGATGTTATAGGGGTACAAACATTTTGGCTACACGCAAAGCATTTGCCTCGCTCAAGCCAGAGCTTGAAATGTAATATTCTGAAGTAGCTACACTGCCCAGCAGGTAGACCTTTCTTGTAATGATGAATGTCCT